GATTATTCTTTCATTCTGAAAAACAAGGAAGGTTCCGAACGGTAGGACCCAACGCAGGCTGCAGCACTCTTAAAAACTCTCAAGGCAACACCTGCTGAGCGGGACCCCATGCCCCGTGCAGCAAGATGCCTCATCGGTGTCGACTGCAAACAGCNNCTGTACTCACTTGTTTCCAAAGAAACCCTAAACTCTTCAACCCGGAAGCCAACACTCTAAACTCTATAAACCCCGATTCAACCACCAAGGCCGAAACTAAAACCCTAGACCCAAAGCCCTAGACCCGCGACCCTAAACCCTATAGACCCTAAACCCTATAGACCCTATGCCCTAAACCCTAGGTAAACCCTAAACCCTAGCCTCTACTAGACCCTAAACCCTACAAATGTTAAACCCAAGTTTTCAGGTCCTCGGATCACATGGCCCCTGCGACGCCGTGCAACGAGGACGACGGCAATCGCCGTTGCGGCAACCCCAAGGGCAATAGCCTCAACTCATGGGTTCAGGCTTATAGGGTTTCAGGTTTAGGGGATTGGGTTTAGGGCTTTAGGGTTCAGGGTTTAGAGTCTAGGGTCTAGGGTGTATATAGGGGCTAGGGCTTGCAGGGTTTAGGGCTTTAAGGCTTAGGGTTTTGGGCTTAGGGATTAGGGTTTGGGGTTTAGGATTTGGGGTCTAGGACGGGCTATGATTGCTTGGGGCCGGCTGATCGGGGAACTGCGCACATGATCAGGCACAGACCCGAAACTGCTAGATTTCTGAGACTGCAGAGTCTTGTTGGCTGAAGATCACGTAGGCCATGGGAGCATAATATAGTAGGGGCCTTAACACTAGAATAGGGTTTGGGGCATATTCTACTACGGTGAAAAGCGGAAGCCGAAGGTATAGTGTTGCTACGTATACCTGCGCCTATATTTTGCAGACTTCAGCCCTTTTCCCCTTGGTAAAGACACGCGTCAGCCCAGCGGTGTGGGTCTGAAACTCTCTTTCTATTGGTAACTCTGCCTCATGAGAACCATTTACTCATGTGGTATATACTTCTGCCATCTTATGACGAAAAGAAGACTTGATAGGGCTAAAGTGCGCACTATATGGGCACATGGACCCCTAGGCAAAGGACATACTTCTGTGACTTCCGCGGTTTGGGCTCGGAACGGTTTCGTTCACGCCTTTGGCAAGGAGCACCCAGTCACATGAGCTTTTTCGTGCATGTTCGGTCCCTGTTAGATTCATAGTAATCCATACATCCTTAACGATAGATTTCCTGAACTACTACTCGGCCCGCTTAATATAGGAGCCCAAAAAGTTAGAATAGGGCTTTGGGGGCTCATTTTACTATATTCACCATAAAGAACCACCCTTTCCAAGATAGTATTGGTAATTCTTTCGGCCCCTATAGAATTGACCCAGCATCAAACCGAATCCGAAACGAGGGGCAACTCCCAGGCGACTGGACTTCTGCCGCCTGTAGCGGCCGACTGGAGGCCCGTCCAATGCACGCACGGCATACTCCTGAGTAGGCATGGCATCAGGTTTAGGGTTTAGGGGTTAGGGGTTTGGGGAGTGCGGTTCAGGATTTGGGAAGAAGGAGAGGGATCAGGCCATTCGGATCTTTGCTGCTGCTGTTGGGATGTTTCAAGAAGGATGTGGAGTTTGGATTCGGGACTTTGACCAAAAGAAGAAAACGCCGACAGGAAGTGGAGTCGAGGTTGTGGGACGAATAACTGCCAGTTTGTAGTGTAGGGCCTAAATAATTACCTACACTATTTTGGGGGGCCTTAGTACAATTATAGTATAATGGGCCCCCAAATCCTATTCTAATTGTTAAGGCCCCTATATTATCCAACGCCTTCCTCAAATTATATGACACCATCCGGAACCCCGGCAAGGTCAACAAACTCTAGGGGACTTTCCAATATCCAGGACCTCTCATATACAATCATATAGCGAGCTAACAAGAAGGGCATCTGAAACGGCATGCGAATTCTGAGAAACTTAGCATGTTGATCGTGCTGGCACGGACGCCTTCCATTCAAAGACACTGAGCTCTTTCAGCGCAGCAAGCTCTTTCAGCTCCTTCTCTGTGCCCATGAACTCCTCGCCGTCTAGGCAATGGATTAGCAGTCTGCGTGCAGATGTCGCATTCTATAGCGGGCTTGGGTTAATCAATGCCTTGGTACCACCCCATGTTCATGAAGCCAGATGCAGGACGATGTGTTTGGATTCCAGCAGGTACCGAAGTGGCGTTGGAAGATGGAGCGTACCCAGGACCTACCTTAAAATCTCCGCAAAAACCTGCAGGCAGTCCTGTAGGGGGCCTTAATCATTAGAATAGGGTTTCGGAGTATACTATACTTTAACTATAATAAGGAACCTCCAAAATTAGTATAAGAAATTGTTAAGGCCCCTATATTATGGCCGGAACGGATGCTTTATCGAGCTATTTGGCTGTAAGTCTCCGGAGTCTACTTTGGCGATCCTCGAAACACGAAGCCCTCACTCAGGGCAATGTGAAAACCTATAAGGCCAGTCCCGAAAAGTCCAACGAGACAGTGAACCCTAAACCCTAAACCCTAAACCGGCTTGTTGACGTTAGGGGTTGGGGTGCTCCAGGAGCCTTCCAGGATTCAAGGTCGAGCAAACCAGGGTCACAACTTGTCTCTTCCGAACACATATGGGCAGTTCTCTAAATTAGGATCCCTGTGGGGGGTCTTTTTGTAGCGCTCCTTGTAAGGGCTTCTATAAGGGTTCTATATGGGTAGTTCTCTAAATTAGGATCCCTTTGGGGTTCCTTTTGATAAGGGTGCTGTACAAAAGAGACCCTAATTTAGAGAACTACCCACATGGCACAGGCCGCATGTATGAAGACTCTTGCCACGCACAAATCTCACGCACACACATAGTGTACGCCCATACGTGCATGACATAACGCAGTACATCACGGTAGCCATGCCATAGCTCCAGACACGACACAACATGGCATGACAAGCCAAATCAAGGCATAACATAGCGCCTCATGACATGCAAGCCTGCATCACATCATTACACGACACAACGCCGCACACTGTAGTAGCTGCATTGTAACATAGCATGGCAAGACATACTATGCTAGAGCGCAAAAGGCTGCCTACAAATAAAATTCGTTCATAAATGCATGTTCATACATGCATGCATACATCAAAACATAAACATGCATACCGAGTACATTCCCTTGGCGTCTCACAGACTACAGTAGTACTAGGACATGAGATGTTGGCAGCTGATGCCTCCTTGCGGATGACGGGCGTGTACCCATCTTTTACGGCTTCCCGGGCGCGCATGAGGTATTCCATTACCACCTGCCGGAATCTTAACTGCTTTCTTGTGACTACTAATCTACTAGTTGTACCAGTACGAGTATCTTGCGACAACTGAACGTTACGGTTACTACGGTTGCGCGTTTCACACCTTCGGTTTCGCCTTCTGACGGAAAAGTGAATGATGTAGGGGCCTTGATAATAGGAAAAGGGTTTTGGGCTCCTTTATAGTATAGTTACAATATAATAAGGAGCCCCCCAAAATGGTATTGGTAATTATTTAGGCTCCTATCGTGTCTGAGACCGGCCTTCCGGTTTCCGTAGAGTAGGGAACTGACCCGAGCCAGGGTCCAGTCTGGACACGGCCGCACGATGAGCCGCAACACGTCGCCATCGCGGAGGTCTCCAGGAACCAGTGTGCCTGGATTGAAGCGGCTGTAGACTATGACAGCGCTTACACCAGAGACATTCCTCGATGAGGAACCCTACACACACACACACATGTAGAGAGAGAGAGAGCAAGAGAACAAAAAACAAAAAACAAAAACAAAAAATACAGCTACTGATCTGTTAAAGCCTTATGTTTCCCTTATTTCTTTGAGGGGAACTGAAGGCACAAGGAGATTTCGCTCCACCATGTGCGAAAACATACCTTTCTGCACAGGACCCTTGAAAGCAACGCCTTGCTAAAGTGCGCCACGTCACGGACGAAGAAACCAGCTCTTCCTGTGCGGGCACAATGTGCGCGTACGCCATCAGCAGTGAAGGTCTTCCCCAGCATCTGGTCCACTTCACCACAAGGGCAACGAGGGCAGGACACCTGTCTACGTGCCCAGGAAGCCCTTTAAACAAGGGCACCCTTTTCCAACTGTACTGTTCAGTCTTCATGTGTGGTTTCGATCAATCAGGATCAATTGGTTAATGACCGACCCACCCCTCCGCCCCTGCCAGGATAGGGAATAAGCGTGATTGGGTTGGTTGGAATCATGGGAGTCTGGATGGTAAAATAATGGCCCAACAGCTGTAAGAGGCGATTAGTCCACATACTTTGGGGGTTCAGGTAGTCATATAAACGAACAGGTCATACCAAAGTAAGGGCCGCCCGGAACAATTGCTTCGTCTTTTACGACCGGTTTTATTGCTTGGGCATCCCGGGACCGGTTGCAGGCTTGTAGTCCCCACACTAAAGAAGGCACAGTAAACGGGTACTAATGTGACCGCTAGTTGTTGTCGGCAATTCGAACAAGACTTGGACTTGCGACCTGCAACAGCCACAGCCCTGAGCGAAGCTTCCTTCTTTCAGGGCTGACGGTCCATAGGTGTTTGCTTTTAAAACCTCTTTTCCTTTCGCGTTGGTCAGGGTTCATAGGGTTTGGGGTCTTGGGTTTTTCGGATTTAAAGTTCAGGCTTTCATTTCTGACAACCAAACGTCAAGGTTGAGGTATGAAAGGTCGAAGGCCTGAAGCTGCAAGGGCTGCTGAACTCCATCACGCCAACATCCGAACCTAACTTGCGCACACAAAAGGGACAGAGCCCAGAGCCAGGGCGCAAAGCTGGGAATGAGAGGTTCTGTTCTTTAAAGACCATACGAAAAGAAAGCGAAAGTTCACGAACAGTGCAGAGCCGGCAGCATGTCGCCCACACATACGGTTTCTGCCTTCATGTCAGCGGTATCAAGAAAAAGATTCTCACCAAAACATCCCGGCTTCAGCGACTCCTCGTCGAGGGCTTCCCGAAGGGAGAGGCCTGCCACAAGTCTGACCAAGAGGACAGGAGCGGGAGCAGCAGCAGCAGCAGCAGTAGCAGTCTGGGAGTTGAGGAGATCTCTGCATGAATCTTCGTGGCACTGCTTCTCTGTGGTTGTGGCGCCTGGGCTTTACGAATTTGTGCAGTGAAGACGAATGCAGTCTACTACAGATGCCTCATGGAGGGCTGGTGGCAGCACTGCACAGGGCTTGGGAAGGTAAACTGGCAAAGCTGCACAGACTTGAGACGGGACTATCGGGGAGTGGCTACCTACCTACCTACCTACCTA